GGTGGAGGGGATCCCCATTACCTGTAAAGCGCTTTGAGTGGAGTGTCCAGAAAAGCGCTATATAAGTGTAAGCAATTATTATTATTATTAAGCTCTGTGCTGGTGTTCGAGGACAGTACTGCATTATAGGTTCTGTTTACTGTGTGTTCCCACCTCTTACCAGCAGAGGGTGCTGAGGGCACCTGCTCCTTGCTTGATTTGTCATTGCATCGATGGCTCGCCCCAATCTGAGCCCTGCCAAATTCACACCCAAGATTAAGGAGAAGATCAGGCTTCAGTCACAACTTTTATCTATACCATTAACATGTGGAGAAGTTAGTATTGTGATTTGTTTTTAGTGTGCTGCTTGAACCAGCCCTGCCAAAACTACAGTTGGTGACACACTTTTCAGAATAAACCCACACTAAATCAAGAGCACATCTCTTTGCTGCTGAAAAATCTTGCCTCATGTCTTTTGCACCGTATGTGTCCTGTATGCCATACGATATATTTTACTTCAGATTTTAAATCCCTCTAGAGGAAAAGGGTTTGTTGACTGCTCTCTATTCTGTCTATGCTTCTCTGTATGTTATTCATTCATGTAGACTCCGCTTGAAGTAACAGTATACAGCATGTCGGTGCATATGTGTTATCAATGCTGAGTGCTGTGTTTCCAGGTGGAGGAAGACTTTGTGCTGGACCTGGAGAGGGAGAAGTTTGTGGAGGAGCTCAGGGCCATTGTGAGCAAAGCACTGGAGATCCTGCGCTCACGCTGCCCTCTGGTGGGAGAGGGGGACAGCAGCAGCCAGGTTAGACCGAAGGGAGAAGGCATTGAACACCACCCACACCTCACCAGAGTGTGCACTCTTGTTAGTTGGAAACTCTCACCAGAAAAACAGATCTTCACTGGCAGTGGCCTTTATTACATATGTGTTGAGATAATGAAAAGCTGTGTAGCTGATAATGAAAGTGTTTTCTATTTAAGGAAACCCATTGGCATGAGGCAGTTAGTGCTGTTGACTCACAGCTCCTGGGTCCAGGGTTTGAATATGGAACTGGATCATTCTGTGTGGAGTTCGCATGTTCCCCATGTTCACATTGGTTTCTTCCAGGTGGACAGTTTTGTTCCTCACTGATGCTCTATGGCTAATTGGTGTCTCTAAGTTGCCCCAGTGCCAGGGAGTGTGCCCTGCAGTGATGTGGTGACCCATCCATGGTACAGTCCAGACCTAAGCCCTGTGTGTCCAGGCTCAGCTACAGGTTTCCATGACCTGTACCAGAAAGAAGTGGCTTTCTGATGAGGGATAGATGGATTTTGTGATATCTATATACTTATATTTTACCACTGTTATTCGAAGGAGCTGTGTGGTTGAGGAGATTCTGTCTGCTTGTTAATACTGTAATTGTTAAAAGTGGTAGAAGTAGAGTCTAGAAGGCAGCATTTGTGTACTGTCAGCTCAGCAGCAGCTTCCCTGATATTTAAATGTACTCAACTCGCATGTGTAACAGAATTCACTGTGGTTTTAACCTAAAGACGACAAGAAAAATAATTTTCAAAACAGGGGTAGACTGTTGTTCTAAAGCAGAGGAGTCCTGTCACGTAACCCATCATTCAAGCTTAAAACAGTCATCTAAAGACATTTACATCTAAGCTTTTTTCCCCAAACACTGTCAGCACCGCTTACTAGAATTCCTACACAACGCTTACTACACATTACTAGGGGATCAGGAGCAGGTGGTTGTTTGATGTTAGGAGGTGATCATTTACACAAAGAGCTGTGGGTGTCTGGAGCAAAACACCCAGTGCTATTGCTGAAACCGATCCTCTGGGTCCTAGATCCTACGGGGGGCGGTGAGGTGACGTCCTGGAGTTCATCTGCTGCTGGACGACTTTTGGGAGCTGAACAGAGCTCTTTTTTGTCTGGCGAAACCTCTCATGCAGAAAGGACCATTCTTGTAGACATTAGCAGCCTGACCTTTCCATCTTCCTTTGCCTTGCAGACTGGATCGATGGAGCAGCTCCACATCAACCCACCTGCCCCGCCCAGTGGTGAGTGAGCTGTGCACTGCGCTATCAGCATTTCCTTTCAGGTCACAAGAGAGCGTGAGGAACATGGAGAGGGAAGCCTTTTGTTACTCACGAAGAATGTTGAGAGATACCCGTTTGTTAAAAGACGCTCATTAAGCGGATTGTCTCTCCTCTCTCTGTTCCCACTGTCCCTCTTCACTTGTCTCCTGCTCCCTCTCTGTCTCTGCTTCTCTTTCTTTCTCGAACACTTTTTCCTGTTCTCACCATCTCCTTTTGCCCCCTTTTATCTCTCCCCTTTCCTCTCTGCCCCCGACCACCCTCTCTCTCCCCGCCCTCTCCCTCTCAGTGGACGCTGCCCCTCAGTCCTCTCCCGTCGGCCGGTGGAGGTTCTTCATCAACCAGACGATTAAACACAGAGACTCCCAGTCGGCCCAGGGTGCCCCCACGCCCCCTGCTGGTTCCTCCGCAACGTCACAGCCAGCGGGGCAAGATGCTCCCGGAACCACGGCAACGGACAAAGGTAAGGCAACTCCGCTGCCGTTTCCACGTGCGTTTTCAGCCCTGCTCTCAAAACGTCACGGTCAGCTCAAGTAAACGACCGTCTCACCTGGCCCTTCCCTTGGAGAGGTCGTGTTTTCTCCCAGAATACCCACAGCTCCCATAGCTTCACGGTATCCCTTAAAAGGCGTGGGCTGATCTTTCCCGTTGGCTGCAATGTGAGCCACAAAAAGTGTCATTTCTGAGCAGAGAAAATCGTTTTCACCTGCGAATCCTCAGCAGTGCCCAGAGCTGCCAGGTGGTATCGGATTTGAGGAGAAACGGTAAGCAGACCTGGTAAGCAAAGCTGGGATGTGTGAGGTGCCTCGTGCCACCGTCTGTAATACTTCACTGCTGTGCTTTTTCTCCCATTGTTTTCAAATCATATTGGAGGGAAGAATGGGTGTTGTCTGTGAATAATAATTCAGATGGTTTATTTGTTAATAACAAAAGGGGCTAGGGTAACTTAGGGCACAGCTGCCATCTGGAAGACCAGGATTTCAGAAATCTGTGGCTATTCCCAGAGCAGTCAGAATTGAAAGATGCAGATTTTCCAGGTTTGCTTTGATTGACTCAACCTCCCACTGTACTGGATAACCTCCTTTGTTATCCAGTACAAGTGCGCAGCCAAAGGAAAATTTCCTTCTTACTTTTTTTTATTTTTTATTTAACCTGAAAACATAAGAGTTTAAAAACACAATGTCATTAATGTTTTTATGGTTTTTTTCACGTTATAGTGGGTGAGCGATCAGTGAGTAGTTTGCTTAAATGTAATGAGAATATTAATTCTAAGTACTACCATAATAATATTTTGTTCTCTCCCAGATGGTGAGGGAAGTCAGCGGTCAGGGTCTTTCAGTGCAGCTGGGACAGGTGCCTCCCTCTTGCCCTCACTTTCAGCCTCTGCTCCGGCCTCCCTGTCTGCCTCTGCTGCATCCTTGCCCACATTCCCTTGTGCTCCTGCATCCACTGTGGATCTGGGTTCAGAAGAGGGAGGCGCTGGAGTAGCAGGAGAGTTGATACCTCACCCTTCATCTGAGGACCAGCTGCAGCCACAGCAACAGCAACAAATTGAGCTACAACAGGATCTACAGCTGCCTGGACAGGCACAGCCTCTTGGACAGCTGCAGCAGACGCAGCCTCTTGAACAGCTACAACAGACACAGCCTCCTGCACAGCTGCAGCAGACGCAGCCTCTTGGACAGCTGCAGCAGACGCAGCCTCTTGAACAGCTACAACAGACACAGCCTCCTGGACAGCTGCAGCAGACGCAGCCTCCTGCACAGCTGCAGCAGACGCAGCCTCCTGGACAGCTGCAGCAGACGCAGCCTCCTGGACAGCTGCAGCAGACGCAGCCTCCTGGACAGCTGCAGCAGACACAGCCTCCTGC